ATGTCTTCATTCTTGTTCCTTTTGAATTGCTCCTTTCTTATCACATATCTGCTACCACCACAAAGATATCTCTTCCAACATACACTGTGTAAGTTATTATATGAGGATCAAACAAAGATTCTGCCTTATTGCTTACCTCAATTATCGCATCCGCAGCACTCGGAGTGATTGTAACAATTCCGTCCATGTATGTAATAACACAATGCCGCCCACGCATTTCTGCACCATCGAGCTAAACGCGAAATAAAACTTTTGCGAACAGGTTTCACAGACAATACAATGTCGTGGAAAACAACTTAAACTTACGCAAATATTCTGAGCCGAAAATTGGGCCAGTGCTCGGTCGCTTCCTACTTCGGTGACTCCTCCACTCAGATTAAGAGCACGCGGTGGGTTCATCGGAGAGCCATCTAAAAATTATCTGTGCCTACTCCAGGGTAACACTGTCAATAAAATGTGCTCGGTATAACCAAAATAAATAACAAAAAAAGAAACTGTGAGAATAGGACCAGATGTCAGGGATTTTAGGGTGCAGGATTTTTGGGTTTTCTTCCTTGTTTTGGTTTGTTTTTTCTCCGATTTCTCCAGAAACAAACTTTTTCTTCCAATTTTCAATGTACTTGGACCTACTCACAATACCGTGGAGCAACTGGATTCATATCTGATCTATTCTATGCCTCATGGAATAAGAAAGTTGAAGTTGGAGTCCTGTTTGGATTCTATCAAGCAAGTCGATAGTACTGAAGCCCCCCCCCGCACTCCAGAGAAGATGCGTTCTACTCTATCGGGGCTGAAATATCGATAACCTTTAAAAGTGCTATTTCTGGTTCAAAAGCAGCAACGATACCCTGGTGGCCGATTCTTTTAGTCAAACCTTCGCAACTTATTCTTCTCCCAAGGGTCTACATATATCAATCAACCCGAACTTCAAATGAAGAATGCGGGCCTAGGCTCTTGTCACTAGATGAAACAGTGAAACCCGAAAAACAATGCGAACATCTTGAAGTTCCAATGCAAATCAGCCTCTTTAGTCGAGAAAAGCTTTTAGTACACAGAATCATCGTAAAGCGCACAAAAACAGAAAGCATAGCTCCGTTCAGACAAAAACTCACCGGGTGCGAGAAAGTGCAACGTTGGTTCTTTTCCTGCTGAGGGCATCATGTTCGCTTGTTCTGACACATTGTTAGCACGATCTTGAACAACGACTCGAGAACCGCTGGAAAAAAAATTTGAAAGTTGAATTTTGATCCATGACCAGCGACTACTACCAGCTGAGGCAATATACATACAATATCCACCCCCCCCCCCCCCCCCCCGCTGCGATAGCCTGACTGAAAGCCTAATCTCCTGTGGGCTCGATCAATATCAATTTCATAGCGAGATCGACCGGTTTTTCAAGATCTCATTGAGCTTTAGGTAAGAATTTATTGCCAAAAAACGGCAAGCATTCCGACGACTGACAAGTTTCTGCTTCTTAATTTTGAAATTAACTTCGAGTAGTGGTGCTCTTACCAGAAACCAGAAATTAGAATTTCTGGTCTCAATAAGAGCTACGATTTCCTAAAAGTGCTTCAATTTTGCATTCTCTAGTCTAATAAAAAAAAGTCTAGCCTAATTAAGTGTAAGGACACTCAGTGCTACTTTTCTAAAACTCGCCATCCATTCAATCGCCACCAAAATCGCAACGGCGTTCAAATCCTTGCTGACCTATTCAGTGGCTTGCCGGGACAGATGTAAAAGTCAGTGTTTTTAAGCTCCCAGTGGTACCTGGTACCACATAATCGACGCTGAGAGACGAATAGGAATCGTGGCCTGAATCGGCAATTACAGACACGAAGATTTACTACCCACCCATCGCACTTGTCAATTACAATTCTCACTACACTAATCTGCGCCACCGATTTCAAAATAGATATAGGTTCAACAAAAATCGCAATGGACCTTGTGAGAGGCCCTATGCCAATACAAAATATATCAGCCTAGATGTCACTGAGCCCGCAAGAACTTCTGTGCACTGGGACCCTATACAATGGATTTCACTCACTAATGCTATGAAAAGCTGAGGGAGCTGTTAGCTATCAATGTGGGACATGAGGCCGTATCCTATCCTTCTCCCAGGCTAGAGAAAGAAAAAAAAATCATTTAAATTTATTTTTTCCAGCGAAACTTCCTTTTGTTTCCACACATTTTTCGTTTACACATATATGTACACTGCAAATACGCAGTTCCTTAGAAAGATTATTGTTGGAAGACCAAGAGAAATGAGAATTCGAAGGGAATTTTTGTCCCTTAGCTTAGGGGAGGTCCACGATGTGGTGATGCCAAGTCACGTATACTCCTCACCGTTAAGCACGATATCTAACAAAGAAAGAAGCAAAAAACAACTTCGTTAAAGAAAAAGGAAACAAATATCCTTTCATGCTCACTGACCGATTCTGCTTTCTCCTTAGCGCAAGATACGTGTCTGGATACCCGTTACCCTTTGCAGCCATCTGCATCAGTGGAGCTTCATCTGCGTCGATTACTCTGCCATCGGAAGGAAGATTGCGAAGATCATTGAAACTATGACTGGTTTGTTCCGAGACCGGCACCTTGAAAGGGTGAACAATGTTGCTGACAAGGACACTCGTTAATGAGAAAAGGAGCAGTGCTCAAAAACCTTTACCTTTGTTTCAGCATGCCATCTCTGCTGATACTTCCTACACTTTCCCACAAGTTGGTACATTTGAAAGATTATAAAGCGATATCACCGGGATGTGATGCTGACTACGCGGTTTTCAGGAGAGAACAGAGCGGATGAACCGTGATGCAAAGTGAATATGATCGCCCGCCATTTCCTCAGTATAATGGCTAGTACGTGTACTTTTTCGTGACGGCCGACATCGCGTCAAAGCAGCGGAACTCGTCTACACCGTACAAAAAGGAACTACCGAAACAATGATGGGAAACTGATAACGACCGTGCAAGATCATCGATGGCAATGAAAAACAAAGATTACGGATGCATTGCTGAGACAACGACAATGGGATGACGACGAAGCACCCACCAGCACGACGGCCAGTACTCACCTCAACTAGCACATAGTCGATTGCATTACTCGGGTCGATACCGTACTTTTCCAATGCTTCAGCGAGAATTTTATCAGCACGATCGTACATCGAGACCAATATCGTCACATATGGTCGTGATGGCACTAACTCACCACCGTAAATCTTCAAACTTCCACCTGAATTCAGCATGAAAATGAATACGTCGTAATGACCGAATACATGATCTTAGCACAAACGAATATGAGAAACAGATCTAAAAATCCTACACTAATCATGCACAACGGCATTCACTTACCACTGGACAATAGACGCCTTTATTTCCTTCAAATTCACACACCATCTCATAAGCATTAATTGAACTTCAAAACCAGAGGTTAAAAAGATCTTTGAATGAAAACTCACCATGACCCATCTCCTTCAACCTCGTTTCCAGCTTCCTTTCCCTCCTCTTCTTCATCACAACTTCAGGATTCGATATCGTTCGAGTAAATGAATTAGGTGGAACCTAGACAATCACAAGATGAAATTTTCATGTAGATGGGAGAAAGAAGAGCAATCCGGCTTTTCTCTTTTTGCAAATTCTCAAAAACCTTTCCATAACACAACTTTTAGCGCGAGGAATGTTGAGTTATA